AAAAAAAAAAAAAAAAAAAAAAAAGGAATACTTGTGTCTAGAGAAAGGCAGGAAGGAAATATCCTGGGAAGTAGCAGTGTTGTGTAGTATCATGGAGAGAAAAAGCTCAGGTTGATGCCTTACTGTGCTTTTTTCATACCAGCCATTAATCTGAGGCTGGTTTTCTCAGACATGACATTTGACATTTTGGGCCAGATGGTTGTTTGCTGTGGGGGGCTGTCCTGTGCATTGTCGGAGGTTAAGCAACATCGCTGGCCTGTACCCACTAGATGTGAGCAGTACTTCCACCCCACACATTGTGACAATAAAAAAGGTCTCCAAAAATTGTCCAGTGTCCCCTGGAGAGAGGAGGGGTCAAGACTACCCCCATTTGAGATCCAGTCATCTATGGGCCTAATCTTTGAGTTGATGTTTACTCAGTGTGTACAGTTGATGAGTAACACCTGTTTATTGTCCTTGGTCAACTGAGATGATCTATGTGAGCGCCTGGTTCAGGGCCTGGCTCTCCTCAGTGCTCATGGTTGAGTTTGCTTTGGGCAGTAGAATGAAGGCTGATTCTTTCTCCTCTCCATATTCTAAAAGAAAATGTAATACTATTATTAAATTCAATTTAGGAAAAACAATGGGACCAGGAGATTGTACAGGAGAGGAAGAAGCTTTCCTCTGTCCTGTTTTTTGCCAGTCCGAGGAGTTCCAACAAAAACAGCTTATTTGGATCTGAAGTAGGAAAGAAAAACTCTTAAGTTCTTCTCTTCTTCACTGAAACTCCTCAGGAAATATATTCAGCCTTGTAAATAAACATGTTCTTCCAAGCCCTGAAAGTCCAGCCCAGGATTATTATTAGACCTTGTTCGTTCTCTGAATCAGAGCATCTGTGCAGCAATGACAACGTGATTTTAAAAACCAAGGTTAATTTCTTGTATGTGCACTTTTTTTCTGGAAAGATACACAAGAAACTGGTGACATCGGTTGCCTCCATAAAGGAGAACTAGGTGGCAGACTTCTTACTGTGTATGTACCCTTTCATATCTTTGAATTTTGAACGCTATTACCTACTCAAACGTTTTTTAAAAGAATAATAGAGACAAAAAAGTTCAATGTGATCCAGGTGTCTTGTTTCCCAGGCCTGAGCTCCTTGTGGCTTGAGAAACTAATAAATTAAGAGATGACAGGCTCAGAAGCATACCAGGTACCAGGCTATAGTTAAGAGCATCTTCTGGCAGGAAAAAGCTTACTCTTGGGAAATTTAGAAAGTAAATCTTTCACAGAGAAAATTCCTCTGAAGTTACAAAATAGTAAAATATTATAATTACTTGAATTTGTGTGTGTGTGTGTTCGTTCCAATAAGCTGTATATGTTTTTTATTTTTTATTATAAGTGTACAGTTGAGTAGTGTTAACTGTATTTACATTTGTTGTGTAACATATCCCTGGAATGTTTTTATCTTGCTAACTGAAACCCAAGACCCATCAAACAACTCCCCGTTAACCCATCCCCAGCCCTTGGCAAATACAATTCTACTCTCAGCTTCTAGGACTTTGACTATTTCAGATACCTCATATGAAGCACACAGTATTTGTTCTTTTGTGACTGGCTTATTTCAGTCATGTCCTTTAGGTTCATCAATGTTGTAGCATGTGACCGGATTTCCTTCTTTTTAAAGGCTGAATACTATTCCACTGTGTGTCTTAACCACATTTTGTTTCGCCATTCCTCTGTTGGTGGACATTTAGGCATTTTTTACCTCTTGGCTATTGTGGATAATGCTGCAATGCACTTGGGTGTGCAAGTATCTCTTTTAAGATCCTGCTTTCAATTCTTTTGGATATGTATACCGAGAAGTGGCATTGCTGGATCGTATGGTAATTCCGTTTTTAGTTTTTTGGGAACCTCCATGCTGTCTTCCACAGCAGCTGCACCATTTTACATTCCTACCATCAGTGTGGTGGGACTCCGATTTTTCCACATCCTTGCCAACACTCATTATTTTCTGTTGGTTTTGGTGGTGACCATCCTATGTGTATGAGGTGAGATCTCATCATGGTTTTCTTTTGCAGCCCTCTAATGATGAGAGGTGTTGATTAATCTTTTCGTATACTTGTTGGCCATTTGTAAACCTTTGGAGAAATGTCTCTTCAGGCCCTTGACCCATTTTTTTCCTCTTAGATTTTCTGATCTTTTTTTTTTTTTTCAGCTTTATTCTAGTATAATCTATTTTTTTGTGACAAATCCATTTTTTAGTTGGGTTGCTTTTGTTGTTGTTGAGTTTTAAGAGTTCTTTATATATTTTGGCTCTTAATCCCTTATGAAATATAGGATTTCCAGTGATTTTCTCCCATTCCATAGGTTCCTTTTTACTCTGTTGATTGTTTCCTTTGATGTGCAGAAGTTTCTAAAAAGTTCCATCTGTCTGTCTCTGCTTTTCTTGCCTTTGCTCTTGGTGTCTCGTCCAAAATCACTGTCAAATCCAGTGTCATGAAGCTTTTGTTTTGTTCTAGGACTTTTATACTTTTAGGTCGTTAGTCCAATTTTGAGTTAATTTTTGCATATAGTATAAGGTAGGGGTCCAGGTTCATCTTTTACATGTAGATATTCAATTTTCCCAGCAGCATTTATTGAAGACACTGTCTTTTCTCTACTATGCCCCTTCTGGCACCCTAGTCAAAGATCATTTGACTGTACACACGAGGGTTTATTTCTAGGCTATTCTGTCTCTTTGGTTTGTGTATCTGTCTTTAAGCCTGTATAACATTATTTTGATTTGTGTAGTTTTGTATTATATTTTGAAATCAAGAAATGTGGTGCCTCCAATTTTGGTCTTTTTTTTTCAAGATGGTTTTGGCAATTTGGAGTCCCTTGAGTATTACTTGAATTACTTGAAACATGTTTATTTATTCATTTTATATATTGATTAAAAATGGTAATGAGGTAAGCATGATGGGGATGCCAGAGGTGTTCAGGATAGTATTCAAGTGGGTATTTTGTAACTGATTTTATTCCAGATGCCCTCCTTCATGATAACCAACTGCTCCTTTATCAAAACCAGGACTTGAGAACATCTCTGGCCATTTAACTCAGTGGATTATGTACTTTTTCTTCTTTCAGATTCCCACAAAGTTAAAAGAGGCATTGAGAATTGCCAAAGAATGTATAGAAAAAAGACTAATTGAAGAACAGAAGCAGGTAAATTGCTAGTAGTTCCTTATTGTTTTTTCATCTTTCAGTTTTCACATCCTGTGCCATAGTATTCACAGTGACTTACTTTTGACTGGCTGTTCATTCCATAAACATTTCTTGCATCCTCACTCTGAACTGGACTCCATGCTCAATGCTGTGAGAGAGCCAGATGCTTCACAGTCCTTCCCTCAAGGTGATCAGCTTATGGGGAAAACAAACATGCCTATAAAGGGTGGTCAGCATTTCTGATTGGGGCAGGCAGTATGGTGGTGGGGCACATGTGGTCCTTACTCTAAAAGTGCTAGCAGCCACACTTGTCTTCTATAGAAGAGGGAAAGGCAGGAAGGAACGGGGAAAAATGGAAAAGGTCTTCATCTTCTGGCATACTCTTTTCCCAGACATCCAGACCCAAGCTTGGAGGCAGACAGGCTGAGCAAGGAAAGAATTTTCATCCAAATAATTTGATTTGGCAAAACTTGTTAGAGATTTTCATTAACATAGGATATACTTACTTTGTGGTGAATTGTGGTCTCTTAAAGATTCACCAGCATCGAAGACTGACAAGAGCCCAGTCTCACCATGGATCTGAAGAAGAGAGGAAAAAGAGAAAGATTTTAGCTCGAAAGGTAAGCCTGATGTCTCTGAATTCTCTCTGTGAATTCTTGACTACATGTGAAGAAAGTTCTTAGGTTAATAGTGCATGTTTAGTTAAAGACAAGATTTTGTGCTATGTCTCCTTGAAAGCTAAAACTAGTTCCAGATGACTGGTTTGCAGCTTTTAAAAAAGAGCCATATAATATCAGCAGAGAAATGGACCATATAGTTTCCTGGCTTGCTGGGCTGATTACAGCCTAATGTAATTGAGGAGAATGACTGGCTTGAGAAAGTACACTCAGCTTTCTTGGTTTTGTTCCCCCTTTGTTTGTGGCTTGTGGCTTCTTAACTGTATTAAGTTATGAGGTCAGATATGACCTTATATGTAGCTAGTTTAACTTTGTGCCTGGAAAATATTTGTATTCTAACTCTCAGCTTCAGTGTGTTTATGCTTTACTTTTCCCCATCTCTCTTTTATTTTTAAAGAAGTCAAAACGGTCTGCTGTTGAAAACAGTGAAGAGTATTCAGCAAAATATAGCAACTCCAATAATTCAGGTAACTGGTTAAAGATTATCGTGGGGCCCTAGGACCCAAAGGTCAGGACTTGGAGTCGTTTTTGGTTTCTGGTGGCCAGAGACTGGGCAGTGTAGGGAACAAAAGAACCTTGCCCCTAGTGAAGGATTGTGACAACATGCAAGGGCTCACAGGACTCAAGTGCTGGAAGAATCCTCTGAGGTTATGGGGTAACACAGCCTCCTCATTGATAGTGAGACTTGATCAACCAAAGATGAGCATTAGCCATGGTTGAAAAACCAATCCAACTTACAATACAAGGCCTCCTGTTTGTCAGTAGAACCTGCATGAACAGAAACAACCCTGAATCCTGCCCTGTACTTCAGTCCCCACATGGTGGGAGGATGTGCCCTCATATGTGGGTTAAGGAATGGACTCAACGGTGTGTGGGGATGGCAAGAAGCATCCTTCCAGAAGGACTGTGGTGGTACAGAGAGGACTATACTGGACTGGCAGTCCTAGCTGTCACTCCTGGTGACCCCTTGCCCAGCCCTGCTGGCCTTGGGCCTTAATGTCTCCATCTTTGGAAATCAGAGCCAGATTAAATGATCCCTTGGAGACTGCCAGTTCTTCCACCTTATGCACTTTTTGAATCTTTTTTTTTCCCCCTTCCACCTTATGCATGTATCCGAGGTAGAGTTCCACATAGAGAAGGAAAGGCTTCATCTAACCCGAAGCAGCTTTGGCTTAGCCCGGAGGGCCAAAGAAAGGGGAGGTTTTGTTAGGTTCAGGGATAGCTGCATATACTTTCAGGCTGGAGAAGGGCCAAGCAGAGAGAGAGAGAAGCTGAAGTTGTATGAGAGAATGGTAGGGGGCTGGAAGGCCAAGACGTTAGCCGCAGGACCCCAACTGTCAGTCTCACCAGGGAGGAAGCCCATCCATCTCTTCTGGGATGTAGGAGCCAGGAGGGCTGGGTGAAGAGGCAGAGACATTTAAAAATAGAAGGAAGAGAGGACATCGAGGGTGTTCCCAACTCATGCCTTCTCAGGTCTCTGCACAGTCAGTGAAGAGATGGCTGTCAGGGAGCACAGGACCTGAAGGCCGGACCGGACCAGCTGAAGCCAGAGATCACAGGCAGTGTGGGAGGGGCTGGAAGTTGGGAGAGTTGGGCTGGAAGTCACCCACTCCAGGAAGAGGGGAGAATGTGCTGATACCACTGCCTGTAGCGTTCAGCCGCCACAGAAGGGAAGAGAGGCGGGAAGCCCCAGTGAGGATGAAGGCCTGCTTCTCAGATACAGCAGCTGCTGTGGCTGGCGGGTAATTCCAGAGCTGGAGGTCTCTTTTCTCCATGGTTGATGCAACGGACATGGGCCAGTCTTTGTCATCATTAGGCTGAAACTCATGTCTCCAACCAGCATGTCTGACAGACATTCTGTCCGGCAACTAATTTTTTCCAAGCAGAGAAAGCCTGGCTCAGGGTCCTCCACCTTCCCGAGGCCCGGCCTGCCTGCACGGTTCTGGGCCGGATGCAGCCAGATGAGATTCCAAGGACTCCAAGACCCCACCGCACCCTCAAGGTGTTCAGGAAAGCCAAGTAGCAGTTGGCAGAAATGTAAACATTATCTCCAGACCCCACCGGAATCACAGATTCGGTCTTTTCCCCTTTAAAATCTATGTTAGCACAACAAAGCAGTGGGAAGACAGGAAGGGTTGGGTTTTGCCTCCTTTTTCAGTAAAACGCCTCTCATATTTAAACAGGGTGGTGAGAGCATATTGTGAATAGTGAAAAGCCACTCGGCTTGAGGGAGGTGCGGTTTAATTCAGACATTTTTCCTCATGCCCAGCGTCCATGCCATGTCCAACCTGTCCTGTGGGCAGTGGGTGAGGTGATGGTTGGAGGCTTCTCAGGGACATGATCACAGCCACCCCTGGAGCCTCGGTTAACCCTTCCATAGGACCTCTGTGTCAGGGGGCAGCCTTCATGTTGCCACAGAAGGGCTTATGTAGGAGCCTCTATCTGCTTATTGGGCCACTTCTATGTCAGGCCAGGAGGATATTCTCTGGAGACTTCTGAGCAATGGGGAGAACTTGAGAATATGGGGAATATGCATATTGTTTTAATGTAAATAATGGTATTTGCTGGATTTCAGCTAAGAAGAGGCCTGGGAGACCCACACACTGAATAGGCTGACCCTACCTAATTGATAAAATGGAACTTCTACAGAGAGCATTGCTAGGTGGATGCTGTGGGGAACTCTCACTTCCTTTGGAGAGGCCTCCACTGGACTGCTCTGTCCCTCTCTGTCTCTCTCTGTCCCCTGTATTGCTTGTGGCCATTGTCATTTGGCGTTCATTATCCAGGGACAGAAGCTGGGTCAGGAAAAGATACTACAGCCAACTGCACAAGTCGTTGACAGCTCAAAGTTGTTTTCAACCAGGCAGAGTGTGGGGAGCAGTGGGTGGCAAGGAGCCTTCAGTGGCCTGGGGAGGAAGCATGCCCAACACAGCAGTGATAGCCTGTGGTCACTGAGTCCAGCCTCTGAATTCCCTGTCCCCCCTCATCTTTTACCATAAGGCCCACCCACTAAGCCACGTGCAGATTCTCAGGCAATGGTGGGTCCCAGCTCAGGCCAGATTCCAGGTGTCTGTCTTTGTCCCCATGAGGGTTTCTCTGTGTTTTCTCTTAGCAGGATCTGGGGCCAGCTCACCTCTCACATCCCCGTCATCACCGACTCCACCCTCTACAGCAGGTGAGTGATGGAGGCAAAGTAACCCTCTGCCATCCTCTGACCCAGCAGGAGGAGGAATGGGGCCCTTTCTCTTCCTGCCTGGGCCCAAGCGTGTCAGGGGTCAGACAGTACCTGCCTCCTCCAGAGAAAGCAGTGGGACTGCAAATTGGAAGAGCTGAGGGTCTAGATTTCCAAATTCAGACTTCACAGGGAGTGGAATAGTTGATTTCAGAGGCAGTAGCCACCCTCTGCTTCCAGCCAGCTCTCTTGCTGAAAAGCCTCACGCAGGGCTCCTCAGATCAGAGCTCGCCTCGGTACATGCTGAGCTGAACAAAACAGTTGCTCTGCTGCCCAGGCGCCTTGTTCTGCCAGAGCTGTCTCTTCAGGGAGCCCAGCCACAATGTCTGTGTGGTCACAGAGCAGAACTGGTGAGATGCCCAGGTGTGGGAGTGACCTAACCACCGAACTTCTGATTTCCCGATAACTGTTGGTGCTCTGTTCTGCTCTGTAACACGTTTAGTCCTGGGAATATTTTTGTGGCCTTTGTTTTGCCTTTGTGAATTAAATCAGATTACGATGATTTTTGTTTGAAAAATGTAGAAAGAATTTATCTTGGGGAATATTTATAAAAATAATCTCCAATTTCGTGGAATAGTCTCATGATGCTCTTTCCCTCTTTCCTATTTGAACTAATATCTCTTCCCTGACCATTTTGCTAGCCTCATAAAAACACATTGGGAAACCAGTCATATTTCTTTTCACTTCTTAAAGGAACCAGATGTTTTCGATGTCAGAGGAGCTGGTTCTGCCATTCAGAGCTTGTCAGCTGTGCATGGAAGAGTTGCTGCAGCTGTCTGAAGGGAGGGTCATTGCCTGGGCTTGATTTATGAGCTGACAGTTCCATGTTCATCAAGGATTAAGGCAGCACCCAGGAGCTATCAAGAGCATTACCCATCTGCTCTCAAATACTTCTAATTGACCTTCTTAGGAAAATGACAAGCAAGCATAAAGGGAATAGTTTACAAACTTCTGCTATAAGAGTGTACAAACTTCTTACTCAGCTTACTTCTGGCTGGTGGGTCTCTCCTCTTGCTGACCGAGGATGGTTACTGGTGGTTTGCTGGGGAATGCTCTGGGCCAGGACCCGTTTTGAGGAGCCAAGTACCTGGCTCGTGGGAATGATCATTCTTTTCCCTGGCTGACTTTGTCAGCAGATTTTACAAGAAAGCCCCCAAATATTGATCAAGGGAGAATCTCGTCTTTTCCGTCTTGTGTAGGGGTGAGTTGTATAGGCTGGTCAGAAATTTCTGGAGCTCCACTGCCCAGATCATGTTGAACCATTTTCTGGAAGAAAGGATATTAATTTCATACCCCTTAGACATTTGAAGGAAATTGGAGAGAATGAATAGTGAGAACCCATAAGCCCTTTAACATATAAGGTGTCTCTTTAATCATATTGAACATCTACTGTATGCATTAGGTATAGTCCTGGGAAGTTAACTGCCAGTTCTCATTTTTAAATGCCTCAGGGAATTCTCCATCTATATGGATTTTTTTTTTTCATGAATCCTCTGATTTACCTGTGTTTTGAATGGGAGCTATCTCATACTGTAGCAGGTTTGCATGAGATGAGGGAATTTTCAGAAGGAGAGAAGAAAAGGGAAATTTTTGGTAATGAGAGTCAATGTTGGAAAAACTTTGAGGTGAGTGGGAGTGGTAAGGGGCGTTACTGTGAATTTTGATCATACCTATTCTGAAAGGGAGTTGTGAGGATCGAGAGGGAAAAATATGTGAGGCCCCAAGCACAAAGCCTGGCACAAGTGATAAGTTCCCAGCAAATACTGGCTCCTTCTTTCCTTTATCTCCTTTAACGTTTTGTTGATGAAATTAGCAACTCAGCCCTAGAGACTGTACTCTGACCTCTGCTGGGCACTTATTGTAATGCATCTCTTAAAAATGAGAACTAGCCTTTGCCTGTCAACCCAGCATTTCTGGCCTTGAACAATGAATTTATTCATTATTTATGATGCATTTAGTGAGAGGCTGAAATGTGCTGGGCACTGTGGTTGGCCCTGGCTTACAGGGACGAATAGACAGGGACCTAGCTCATGTGGAGTCGCATTTCTAGAGCCTCTCAAGAGCTCCAAAATGATAGACATAATTAAGCAAATGCTTTCCTTGAGGTCCAACCATGGTAATTTTCTTTTTTTTTTTTTCTCCCAATATTTACCCTCCTTCAATAGAGAATCTCCCCCCGAAAATCTAGTCCTCCAGCAAGCAGCGTCCCAAGCTTCTGTGCTGTGTGAGGCATGAGGGAGCCACAAACACGTAGTAGCTTCATGCAGCTGTGCCCATGGCTGATGCTCCGTAAATCCTTGTTGCTGGATTTGCTTGGGCTTGCTCTGCCTTCAGGGCCTCTGCTGGGACAGAGCAGACTCCCAGCCTAGGGTGGCATCTTCTGGCTGGTCAGCCCCCTGCTTAGACTGGCCCCTCCTTCCAGGACAGGAGGCCAGGCTTCTCCAGTGGGCTCATCTTTCTCATTGCCTCTCTGCACTGTCTATCTTGTTGCTGGAATCACATTTGCTCTAATCTATATGGCTTTACTTCTAGGCTAAGGTAATGGTTAAAAAAAAAAATGGCATGCTTACCTGGGAGCCAAGTCAAGGATAGGTCTTCTAGCTTTATGATCAAATGCAATTTTCTCAAGAAAGGAAGGAAAAATCTTCACTTTCAAGGACTAGTATTAAAAAAAGTATTCTTGCTCAACGTAGCATCTCAAAAACACAATCTGGGAGCCCCTTGGGAAGGAACTACACCTCAGGCCGGGGAACCTAAACTCAAGGGCGAACACTTGCTAGTTCTGGGACCTTGAACCAGACTGTTGGCCTCCCTGCGCTTCAGGTGTTCCCATGTGTCAGTGAGGATAATGACAGTGCCTGCCTATGGGAGTTATTACAAAGTTCCAGAGCATTTCCTGGGTGTGGGGTTAGAACAGCACTGGGTATATAGTAATCCCTCGGTACACTGTTCCTTACTGGGACGCCTTGGATGAGTCATTTTCCATGTCTAGGTATTGTTTAACTCATCTGTCAAAGGCAAAAAATGTGGGAATTAAGAGGAGACCATCTCACGGTCCCTTCTAATCATAGTGTAAATCTACTGGGGGCCCTGTGTGCTTAACAATAGGTCAGCGTGGGCAAGTTCAGTTTGACCGCATTGCCTTCCTTCCTGAAAGTATCAGTTTTAGGGTATTCTTAAGCCCTGTTACTTTTAGTATGGAGCTTAGGGTATTCTTAAGCCCTGTTACTTTTAGTATGGAGCAGAAGTGACAGATGTTTCTAAGCGAAGGAGTGTCACCCTCATGAGCTCTTTCCAACAATTGCGTAAGTATGGGGCCTCTCCCATTTCTTACTGCACCTGCCTGCCATGGAGCCTCTTGAGGGATAAATATGTCCCTGAGTTTGGTGGTGATTCCATTGGGAGGGGTGGGATTCTCTAAAACTCTTGTGTTGGATCCTTATATTTTTGGTGAGAACATTCCTTTCTTTTCTGCTAAAGGTTATGCTCCCTACCTCTGGACAGTCACTCTTTCAAGAGCTTTAAAATTCTTTATCCTGACTTTTTTCATGGTAAATATCACCAACTCGTGTTTACACTCTGTATTCATAGAAATGAGTGGTTTAGAAGATCCAAATCTCCATACACACCGGGTTTGGGAAAGCTAAGTAAAGCAGGAGACTCTACATTATTGTTGTTTTTAATAATTGTATCTAACATATTGTAGGCACTTATTTTGTGCTAGGCACTGTTCTAAGTGATTTACAGTCGTTGTTTTAATCCTTATGAATACCTTCCTATCCAATGAGAGTAGTTTCTACTATAGCTCCATTTTAAAGACACCGAAGCAGGGGCTCTAGTGAGGTGACAGACTTTGACCAAGGTCACACAAGCGGGGGGTGCTAGAGCCAGGATCCAAACTTGCTTCTGTCTTTGCTCTTTTACCCCTACCAATTTTCATCAGGTGCCTGTTCCCTTGGGTGCACTGCAGGGTGCTGTTAAATATTGACCAGTGGCAGGAAAAGAACCCTGAAAGTGGAGTCGGAAAACCCTGGCTGTGGGTCTGCCACTTCCCAGCTGTGACCTTGGACAAGTAATTTCCATTCTTTGAAGCTGTCTTTTAAAGGAATTGCACGTTATTAGGTAACGTGCAAAAACAAAGCTTTATAAGCAGTAAAGTACTACCAAGCATAAGCTATAAATGCCCTGCAAGAGAATTCTAGCCCTTCATGCTTGCAGCTTATAATTTAAAGTAATAATTTTGAGGAGAGAGCTGGCAATTTATAGAAAACTCGGTGTGTAAGAAAGAGTGGAGAGAGAGAAGTTTCATATCTGGAGATCTGGAGGAGGGAAAACAGAGCCTTATGGGCACAAAGTGACCAGAAGCTTAAATAATAGGAAGGATGGTTAAGAATAAATGAGGCACACACACAAAAAATGTATTTATTGAGAATGTTGGAGTTTCCAGAATTTGTCTAGCCAGGTTAAAGTCTGAAACCCAATCTAGGCTCAGAATCCATGTCTCTGGCCATAAGAATTGCCCCCGTTTCTTTTCTTTCTTTTTTTTTTTTTTTTAATTTTTTAAATGTTTATTTATTTTTGAGACAGAGGGAGACAGAGCGCGAGTGGGGGAGGGGCAGAGAGAGAGAGGGAGACACAGAATCTGAAACAGGCTCCAGGCTCCGAGCTGTCGGCACAGAGCCTGATGCAGGGCTCAAACCCACAAGCCGTGAGATGATGACCTGAGCCGAAGTCGGATGCTTAACTGACTGAGCCACCCAGGCGCCCCAAGAATTGCCCCCTTTTCTAAAGACCTACACATACACAAAGCAGTTCCCATCTTTGGGATGAACAGCTCTGCCTGCAGCGTTTCTCTGAAGAGTGTGTTGGCTCTGCTCTCCCGCCCTCTTAGTCTCCCTCCCCCACTTCCCAGCCCAAGCGTGTAAGCTCCTCCCTTGAGCCGTGGGCTGGTTCGGGTGGAAGTGGCACAGGACAGGATTCCCGGCGTCCTCCCAGAGCTGTCCCACGTGAGTGGTCAGTCTGCCCAGCCCCTCATGGGCCTCATTTCTCAGCCCCTCCACAGACAAAGGGATTTTCCTCTGGACAGTAGGGCACATTGGTTCATCAGGAACTCTGGGATTCCCTGTCAGGGAAGGCATTATCCTTCACATTTCGCCAGGAATCTAGTCAGTCAAAAGGAAGACAAGAACGTTTGCCTTGCTTTTTTTCTTTTTAATGGTTTCATGGCCTAAAGTAAGCAAATGCCACTCACTGACCAGTTCAGGCTGTAGAGCCCAGCTGCCTTTGGGGAGGGGCCTCTCATCCCTGGCCTGGAGCTCGCCTTAGACCTGCCCTGTGCTCCTGCTCTTCCCAACTTTAAAAAGACAGGTCTCCATTTTAGACTATGGAAGGCTTGATTGGAAGAAAGTGGTAGACTTCTTGGTAGACTGTCCTTATTTAGCAATAGAACTAATTGCATTTCCAGTACCCATTCCACTTTTCAGGCAGGGTAGAACCTTCACAGGTCTTCTGAAGTGAGTGTTGTAAACAAAAACAGCACCTAAGTGGCTCAGAAAAACAGAACAAAGAGTATGAAGAGGAAAATGACTCCCTGGTTGCTCTATTAGCATGTTTGCCATGTTCTAAAAAAGTCACAATCATGCTTACGAACCAGTGCGTTTTGCAGTTAAATATAGCCTAGTTTGGCAGTGAGAATAATAAGCATGTGATTCAAACTAATATTTTACTGTCTCTTACTATTTGATTAAATGACACTAAAAGCTGAATAATGACTTGTGTCCCCCTCTCTCTCCCTCTCTCTCTCTGTCTCTGTCTCTGTCTTTGCTGTTTTCAGTAGAGCATGCACCATTTTGAACGTGAATTTTCGGTAAAGTAAGCTATACTGATTTCTCTAACTTTAAAGATGCTCTGTTTCTGGATATGAAATGGGACCCAATGTATCTAGATCACTGAAGTGATGAACAAATGGGAAAGCAGATTTGAGATGATTTCCTTCTCTGAACACTTAAATGAAATGCAGCATCTTTAAAAAGCACCCAAGTGACTTCATTATTCATTTCATTTTCACCCTGACCTTCAAAATCTTCATTTCCCCTCTGATGGTAGTTTTAAAACACAGCCCTAAAACCTAAAAATCAACTGCATGGCGTTTTGGCATATTTTAATTTCACAAAGCAGGGTCCCAAAGTCCTTGTGCAGCAAAAATATCGGTTCCTTATCACTCTGATGAAGGGAAAGAGTGTTAGCTGGTTGAGTTCTTGGTTACAGGAAGACAACTCACTGGCTTTTATAACTGGCAGTAGGGAAAAGTTCTTTTTTAAGCATCCCTAATAATTCTTGAGTTGAGACACGAGTGCAGCCTCCTCATCTATCTGAGGCAGAAGAAAAAGGCAGTTGCCAAGAGCTGGGGGCTGCCTGCTTCCAGGGGGTCACTGCTGTCTGTTCTCTCTCGAGGGTAGCCAGCAGCTGTGGTGTTGGTCTGGTGGCCACGTGGCCTCCCCACTTCTATTCGTGGATCACAAAGGAATTCAGACCTACCAAGACCTGTAGACTGCCCACTGCTAAAACTGACCCCAAAGAAAGGGGATCCCCAGATATCCTTCCCACGAGGCTGGTGAGGATGTTTCTGGCAAGACATTCTTTTCTGGGCCTAACATATGCTCTTCCTGCAACGGTCCATGGCCTGTTCCAGGGCCTCTGCTGGATTGCCGGGTTCCCATTAGTTTGGTGGATAGGATTCTGGGGAGGATAGAGTAGTTGATTTTTGGTCTTTTTGCCCAAGAGTAGGTAAGGTGGGAGAGAACTGGATATAATTATAGATCAGCTGTTTTGGAGCATCCCTCATTCTGGGTTTTTGCAGGCCAGTATTTTTCAAAGCTTGGTGAATTCAGTTAGCAACCAATCCAACATGGAATCTGCCTGGTCTTGTCTATGGCCTGGGGACAAGGGCTATCAGATAACCCATGGTGGGGAGAGCTTGTTCACATCTGAGGAGTCAGTGGCATTCAGGCATTAGGCAGTTGTTTCCAGGTTTGCCACAGGCCAAATAGCCAACTCTGAATTTGGCCCTTATTAATACTGCTAATTGTTAGAATGTATTATAGCTTAAGCCCCAACAAACCTTTAAAGGAAGCTTGTGAACTATAGAGAAGGCAAAAAGAAAAAGCCAAAAACCATGGTAGGGCTTACAGTCAGAGACTGAGTCCCTGGTCTGTGTTCCTGCTTCCTCCAGCGTTGGCCTTCTGACTCCCAGACCTCCTCCCCACTTCCAGAGCGTTCTGATCTGGCAAGTTGAGGTCTGGCGTTGCCCTGATAGTACACGTCAAGATCTGCCCTGGTTGTTGCAGGCCCAGTGAGGAAAAGTGGGCCTCGTGGGACATTAGGCCCTTTGGGATTGGTCCGGCCCTCCATGACCCTGCTCTTTACCATTGGATGAGTAGGTCATTTGCTTTACAAGCATGGGTTACTCTGTGGCACTTGGGACTATGTATTTATTTATGCTGCCTACATATTCTGAGAGATTCATTTAAAGTCCTAACAATCTCAGCCTTTACTTGGAAAATGTAGATCCATGTACTGAACATCACCTGCAACTCCCAAACTCTGGGATAGTGAATTTGCACTTTTAATTTTGAGTGCCTGGTGATGAAGCCAAAGTCAAGGGTTGGCTCCTTGTGAAGACCAGGCAGATTTGTTCTGTGCCAAGAGGCAACCCATATCCAAGTCCAGCTGCTGAGGCCTGCCTCTAGCCTCCCAGAATCCTGGGCTAGAGGGGTAACTGGTCTCTGGATGGCCAGCTCTATGCCTTTATCAGAAAGAACTCAAGTGCTGTTGCAGCCCAGAGCCTGCCTTCTTTCTTGAAACCTGCAGTGACTCTTCTCCAGGGTCAAAGCACAAAGCTGGCAGGCAGAAACCCTGGAGCTCCTTGACATCAGGCCCTGAATGTCAAATCCAGATTCTGCCGCCCTTTGCCGGTCATTGGGTAGTGCTGGGGGTTACTGTTGCCTGCTGACTCCTCCAGGCTCTCTCGGTGCTGCAGTTGAGTTCCAAGAGCCTTCAGAGACCATTGCCTCTCCTCCTGGTATTTCATCGGCCACTATCCAAAAACCCCCTTCAGAGGAATGCTTCTGTCACACACCGTCGCTGCTCTTCTCACCTCAGCAATCATTTGTGCGTTTAAAGTCCTTTTTATCTTTGTAGCCCGGTAACATAAAGCTGGGAACATTTGTCCACAATCCACCCTGGCAGAGCACATAATAGAACTTCATTCATTAGTTGTTACTGTATGGAACCAAGGAGAATTACATTTTGTTCATTTGTCTGTATTTAATATTTATTTGTATTGCTGTACTTCCATTATTTGAGAATTCTAAGATTGCAGAGCATGAATGTGTGTATCTGTGTGATTCTTTTAATTTCAGCTGCCTTAGGTTTGGGCAAAAGATGTAAGGAAGGTAAGTGGTTTTCTATGAAATACAAGACTTTAACTGTTATGTGTCACATTTGGTAAAAAGGATGCTCTTACCCAAGTATTTTATTGGTGATCCTGAAACACTCACCCATATAAATTCAAGTGGCAATTGGTATATTTATTTACCATCACAGCTCAGTAGCAGCTTAGGGGGGAAAACTACCTACCAGAATGTCTGGCTGGTGTAGCCCTAGGAGGGGCTGAGGGTAAGGCCAGAAAAAGATAGTGGAGTTACCGAGAGCTGCAAGGGTCACAGGAAATGGGCAACCAACTCTGTGGCACAAGCAAGTGCTTTAAGGAAGGTCTTTGGCTGTACTCCGTTTTTATTTTGTCCTAGGAGAATAATTCATTCATTGATTCAGAACTATAAAATTAAACTGCCAAATGTTCACATGCTTGGAAGCTAAGGGGAAGTTTCAGATACGCTTCCAGTTTCCTTCTCCTTGCCCACTAGGGTAGAGTCTTTCCTGCTGCTTCAGCAAGATGTAGGGTTAGTGCAGCTCCATCCTGGCCCTGGGTTAGGCCACAGTGGAAGGAAGGGTGCTGAGGAAGATGCCTCCCTGAGAATACCATTGCCAGGGAGAGAGCCTGCTGCCCCCTGCTTCACTGTTAACGGTTACTTGCATTTTATATTTCTTTAATGCAGCCTAATAGGAAATGACTATTGGAGACAGATGGCCCTGGGGAGCCCATAACTCAGCCCCTCCTTGCCGAGAATCCAGTTTGTCATTTTACATTAAATCACATCCTTCAAATATTGTGTGTGCTGGCGCAGCTAAAGAAATGTTCATCCTTTATTAGTCACTGTTACTCAGGTAGCCCAACTCTGTGCATACAAATGTCTATCTTTACTTGCTAGCTCATGGTGCTGCCCAGGACCTGGCTAAAGTAGCTAATGGAGCTTTTCTCTTAGGACCATTGCTAGAATTTGGAAATGGAGTTAGAGCCTCATCTACCCAGAGAAAATGTCACTCTGCAGAGTTTCGTGTAATCTGTGATATTTGTTCAGTTTTTTCCCACATGACTATTACTGGGAGAAACAGCAACCTTTAATTACTTCCCCTTTGATGCTTGTAGCTTCCTTGTTCGGTATTTGAAAAAAAACATACAGCACTGGGTAATCTTGGTCCCTCTGAGGGAGAAACATTTGCAATCTCCTCAAAGCTCGTTGCACCCAGGACCGAGCAGGAGCCTGTGTGCAGGGTGTTTGGAGATGATACTGACTGCGCGTTCTTTCCTCCGTAGGGATGTCCGCATTACCTCCACCGCCTCCGCCTCCGCCACCAGCAGCTCCCTTGCTTCCTGCGAGCACAGAGGCGCCTACACAGCTTCCGCCCCAGGCTGTGAATGGTGTGAGCCGAGGGGCCTTACTCAACTCCATCCAGAATTTCCAAAAGGGAACTTTGAGGAAAGCCGAAACCTGTGATCACAGTGCTCCTAAGATCGGCTGAAGATTCGTGTTTACACTTGGAGGGAAAAGTTCTTTGTTTTTTCCTCCCACCTCCAGCCCCTACAGCACTCTTTTTCCGGATGAACAATTGCTGAGCCAGTAAAGCCACATACTGTTTTGCAGATGCTCATCTAAGAGGCTTCTCAAGAGGGAAATATCCAAGTAGAATAAAGTCAGGCTGGCGTTTCTGCCTTAAGAAATAATTCGCTCCTTTATTACCATTTTAAAGGAGTCTTGTTCATCCTCTAATGGGCATCTTTTGGGGGCAGCAGCATATTGGAGTCAACATTTGCACCAACTTAAGGAAATGGACAGAAAAACAATGACAATATTCACTCCCAGCAGTGAATGACCTTTGTGTTGCGATCCCTCCCATCCCATCAGACACTCCCAAAAATGTTCCCCTCATAGTTCATTTCTCTATATAAAGCATTTTCTGGTTATCTCTTAGATTAATTCCCATTCTTGCTACTTTATTTCCTCTTAGACATTAACACTGTAGTCCACAGCATAGTTACGTCATGGAGTCAGAGAAGCAACTGAGTTCATTTTCCACTCAAATAGACGGGGCCAAGTCAAGTCCATAACATTCTCTAGGTTTTAACAGGAATACTGCTGTGGTTACAGAACTCAGGGCTGCTAAGGCAACCACTCTAGACTCACGGTTCCTTTGAGTTTGAGTGTATTGAGACAGATGTTAACATCAGGAAAAGCTCTTGCCAATTAGAGGACCTTCTTAATCCTCAGCAATAAAGTTAAGTTTGTGGTTTGGGGGGGGGGGTTACTATTACAACAAAAGTAAATTTGGCATCCATAGAAATCAGTTCTGATTTTTGAAAGATTTGTCCAAATATATCATTTTTTTAACGTTACTCATTTATTAGATCCTTTATCCTACAATTTGCTTAAACCCTTAAATAAATTGCACTTTAAAGGATTATAAGTAATCCATTTAAAAATTCAAATACACACATCAGTGTTGGTTACTATGCAGAGAGAATGTCATTGTGTATAGTTTCATTTAATCTGTGACAAATGTTCAGCTGTATTTTTTATTAAAATAAACTATGTCAAGAAAATGTGTTGTCTATAGCTTGGCTAGATATTGTAAGTGGGAATTTTTTGTGGGAGCTTTTAAAAACATAGATCCACACAGTATTTCTAGTTTCCTTCCCACCTATCCTATGTCTGTTTCTTTTGTGTGCTATTTTCCCTCTTAATTACTAAAAGCTAACAATCCTGTCTTGCTATCTAAATTAGACACCACTTCTATGTTTCTAGAACTAACTTAAACCTGTCTTTTCTGTCTCAACTTCTAAAGAGGACAGCAGATGGCAAATGTCTGGTTTTTGGCCATGGGAAGAATACCTGACAGGAATTTTGGTTTAATTTTGATGGGAACCCTAATAGAATTGGACATTTGAAGGGTCTGTGGACAAGTTCCTGTTGCAAGTGTGATAGCAGTTTAGGTGATTAGAATCGCTAATTTTTTACCAGAATTTTAAGACTCTTCCCATCCCACATTTATTACTTGAAGAATATAAAAATATAATTAGTCATAGGAATTCCTTTATTCCTTATCAAAACAACCTAACAGCAAATGTACATAATATGCCTTTATTTTTACATATAAGTTGCCATTTTTGGATACATCTTTCAGCAGAACTCTGCCACATTCATACGTTGTCTTTGTGAGAGGGTAAAATTTTACATCAGCCTTATTCAAAGACCATGGTAATTGTAACACACAAAAAAAACACCCTGGAGTCTAGGGTGGGAGAGAAGAGTTTTTCCACATACAAGCACATTTAAACGTATTCCAAGTACAAAAACATCTGTGTTGTTGCTTTAGACATAACTTTATGAATCATAAGGTCTTACAGTATAATCCAGGTGAAGTATCAGGACGTACTTTAGTAAATCCCAATGACTTGAAATTCAAGTCCAAACTAGATATTTAATGTTTTCTTTATTGCAAATATGATGTCTTTAACCTGAGGTACCGAGTTGTCTTCTAGAATCTTTGCATAAGGCATAGGGACATCAGCACCAGTGACACGAACTGCAGGAGCATCCAGGAAATTGAATGCAGGGCCTAGGAGAGAAGGACGCTCAACTGAGAGAGGCAAGAAAAGCCACTGAGGACCAACACCTTCGCACAGGAAGTGTGGCTCTCCAAAGAAGAGAAAATCTAAAGGAATACTAATTACGGGGATTGTTTCTGGCTTTGTTTTTTTAAACATTCACCCAAAGGAAAAATGCCAAGGTGACAAGGTGAGAGTTGAGGCATTTGGTCACCCCTAGCCTCTGATCTCTATCCAGTATCCAGGTACACACTTGACTATTTTAGTCAATAGCTGAACCATTCTAGAACCAGTTTCTCTGAAGTAAGTACCTTCCATGATCCTGGCACAAATTTCAGCTCCTACTCCAAACTGTGGCCAGCCTCCTTCCACAGTTATGAGATGATTGGTCTTCATGACACTGGCTTCTATTGTTTCAATGTCCATTGGTCTGATGGTTCGCATATTTATCACCTAAACAAAGATACACCTTATGGAGCCACTGCACCACAGATAGTCTCACTCCCATAATGGCACTCCCTGTTTGGTTTCCTGTTAATCTCGGGGTTTAGGAAAATCTAATCTGCCTATTCAAGAACAAAATGGTAAAAAATAAATTGTAATTAAAACAAAAGTCTTTCTACCACAAGGAGCCCTGTTAACTTAAGAATTCACTTACCCTCAGGGTGCCTGTGTTAAACCTCCGACTCTTGATTTCAGTTCAGGTCATGATCTCACGGTTTGTGAGTTCGAGCCCCGCATCAGGCCACTGCTGACCACGCAGAGCCTGTTTGGGATTCTCTCTCTCTGCCCCTACCCCTCTCTCTCCCTCTGTCACAAAATAAACTTAAAAAAAAAAAAATTCACTTATCCTCCTGGACTTTAACTTCCTTCTCATCAAAACAACTAATAACTAACAACTGACTGCTCACCATGTGCCAGGCGCCACACTAAGTGTGATTCTCACAACCACCCTGATGGGACAGTAAATGTGCTCTCCTCAGTTTACCGCTGACAGGGCTGAGATTCAGAGTATGTATCTTGTTCAAGTAGAACTAGCAAGTGGTAGGTCCTGGATGTGAAAGGGTAAGACACCGATTTCTAAGTTTCCCCTTCTCCCAACCTCCAGCTCCAACGCTGGCTCCCCACTTGAGAAAGCAGGTACTCTTCTAAAAGATCCAACCTATGTGGTAAAAAGCTAGATATCTGAAAAGCAAGGGGGTTCCCAGCTTCACGCAGAGGCAGAACTGAGTGACAAACCAAGAGTTTTACACTTAGGGGAGTTGGAACTCTATAGCAGGTTAACTTAAAACTAAAAGGAAACTTTCTGATTCTTTAAGAATAAATGAATGTCCATATACCTCACATTCAATTCCTTCTTTGGATAGCACCGTTGCAGCTTCTAAGCAGTGGCCCACGGGTCTTGAATGGGAAACTACAGTTATGTGTGTCCCTGAAACAGAGCGGTCACAGATCAGAGGCGCGTTGGCACGAAAGCTGCCGTACTGCTCTGCGGCCACTGCAGCTCTTGTTCACGTGTAAAATCTTCAGCTCCACTCCATTCCGGTGGGATGAGGAATGTGGCGGCCTCCCTAAAGATGAAATACAAATCTACTGGGCTGAGATTTAGGAAAGCACAAGCGTATGAGCAACTCATGACACATTCTTAACTTGAACTCATCCTATAATTTCCTGATCAAAGTAAAAAGCAATAACTTAAGACCGAATCTGACCAACATAAGTAGAGTGGCTGAATTACAAATAATGTTTAAATGTACTAAGTTCTCTTACCTTGCCTTTCTATTTTGGCTTTTCCAATGGGAATCAGAAAATCTTTTGATTGAGCTTCTGAGGGAAATTCAAAAGGAACTCCATACATCAGTTCATTCTCTAGCACCACCACTGCAAAATACAAAAAAAAAAAAAAAAAAAAAAAAAAAAAAAAAAAGAGAGAGAGAGAATGAAAGTAAGCACAAGAAGGGAGAGACAGAGGAAATGGGAGGGAGAGAAAAAAATTTTTTTTTAAGTTTATTTTGAGAGAGAGAGCACGTGTCACTAGGGTAGGGGCAGAGAGAGGAGGAGAGAGAATCCCAAGCAGGCTCCACACTATCAGTGCAAAGCCCAATGCGGGGCTCGATCCCGTGAACCATGAGATCATGACCTGAGCCAAAATCAAGAGTTGGACGCTTAACTGAATGAGCCACCCAGGTGCCCCATGGAGGGAGAGAATCTTAAGCGGCTCCACACTCAGCACAGAGCCTGACTCGGGGCTCAATCTCATGACTGTGCGATCATGACCTGAGCTGAAATCAAGAGCTGGACACTCAACCACTCAATTCATTGAGTCTCCAGGCACCATGCAAAATACAGATATTAACAAAAGTAACTACGTGACTAAATGTATTTTCAACACTAACAATCATTATGTGAAAAGTTTCACTGTGCTGATTAGGAGGCCTCATATCTGTCATGTCCAGTAGCCCTGAATGGATGGTTTAGGTACTGGCATTTACAGTCTGGCCAATCCTAATTTTACCTGTTGCAATTAAACCAGTGTTGTAGGTACCTAACAGGCTCCCTTATAGTAGGAAAACAAAAATAAAACAACTTTTAAACTGTGTTTATTGTCTCTGTAAATCATTAACATTTTATATGATCTAAGCCTAACTAGAAGCCTATAAGGGTTCCTTCCAGGCAAAGATTTCAATTTAGTTCTTTAATGATCAAAAGAGACCCAAGGGTCACTCTACTAACCTGGGTTGTTATCCCGAATGGCTGATTTAATAAGTCCTTTTGCATCCTCTGAATTCCAGGGGCTGACCACCTTTAAGCCTGGGCAGTGCCCATACCAGGCAGCAAAGCACTGTGAGTGCTGGGCAGCCACGCCTGCTGAGGCGCCATTGGGCCCCCTGAAGACTATGGGCACAGACTGAAAGCCCCCTGACATGTAGTAGGTCTTGGCAGCTGAGTTTATAACCTGGTCAATGGCTTGCATAGAGAAATTGAAGGTCATAAATTCACAAATGGGCCTCAACCCAGCCTGTCAAATCAAAAACAAAGATCTTAAAAAAATGAGAAACAGCAGTAAAGAGTGGCAATCACTCCAAAATTCAAACAATGTTTTCAAAAGGTCACGTGAAAAGAAATTTCTTTGGATGAAATTCATAAAGAGGATTACATACCATGGCCGCACCCACGGCAATTCCAGCAAAGCCCATCTATAAGTAAAACACAAACACAAGTGAAAATCCATAAAAATTAGAACAGTGTACACGTGAACAGACACGCCCTGAAAGGTCTGCTTCCTAATGGAAGCCTTACCTCAGATATGGGAGTGTCTATGATCCTCTTATCTCCGTATTTCTTCCACAGGCCTCGACTAACCTAAAATTACACATTGATTTCATTACTTTTAAGTGTATCTGGGGGCAAATGGCTACCTTAATTCATACTGATTTCAGGTATCTTGATTACCTTATATGCCCCATCATACTGGGCAACTTCTTCCCCAAGCAGAAACACCTTCTCATCTCTTTCCAGCTCCTCATCCATACCTTGGTTTATAGCTTCACGAACTGTCACCTGTCACAGGGATGGGAAAAACAGTTAATAAACTATAGGATCATTTTGGATACGACTCAGATTCTCTTATAATTACCTAGGCTGCATACAGCAGAGAATATAAAAACTATCACTAGAACAGGCTTCTCTTTAAAAGTTCAAAAAATTCTTGGGGTGTGTGGGTGGCTCAGTAAGTGAAGTATCCAACTCCAGCTCAGGTCACGATCTTGTGGTTTGTGAGTTCGAGTCCCATGTCAGGCTCTCTGCTGACAGCTCAGAGCGTGGAGCCTGCTTCGGATCTGTGTC